AGGCGTACCTGCATTACCACCATTTGTCCACCAACCAGATCTGAAATATCATGGCTGGCATGTACACATAAGGAACTATCTGGCATTGAAATTGGGACTCAAAAGAACTGTTGGCCCAGAAAGGAACTCACTGCAGACTGATTCATTTGCCTCTCAGCACAACCATTATGGCTTGTTGCAGTTTAGGTTCTTACAAGGGTATTTCTTGGATCACGTGATCTCACACATGTAGAGGAAATAATGAACAACATAAACAGACCCAGAGAAAGAGAACCAGCGATCAGACTCTCAAACCTCAGAGGGAAAGTAGGGGAGGATAGGGGTAAGGGGAAGAGATCAACCAAAGGACTTGTGTGCATACATATGGGCCTAGCCAGTGGCCATGGACAATTACATGGGGGTGGGGGGGGGCATATCTAGGGAGGGGTTTGGGATGGGAATGGGGGAATAAGGACAATTATGTGAGATCATAATCAATAAAAAAAAAAGAAAGAAAAGAGTCATCAAAGTAAGAGTCTAGAAACTTGGGTATCTTGTAATGGATGAATTGTTTTATTTATTCTGTTTATTATAAGTAAAGAGGTATATTATAGATATTATAGCTGCAAAGAATTCCTTTTTAGATTATGTGGATCCTTTAGCTAATACTGAATGTTGCAAAACATTAATATAGGGTTGATCTTTTTAAAAAAAATTAATATACTGTATTTACACTCAAGCTGGCGTTTGAGAGTAATGCTTGAGAATGTGATGCAGAATCCCCTCATAGATAATTCTCATTCTAAAGAGATATTTCAGTACTCCAGTTTGCATAAGACAAATTCTTTTATACCACTTTGTAGTCTATTGCAAGTATGTCTAGTTATATTCACTCATGTAGACTGAGTCTTCCCATTAATTTCAAAGAACGATTTAGGACTTTTCACTGACAACTTAAATTAGCAGTGTAAGTTCCTACCTCAATGGAGTTTGATTTTCTCTTCAGTTAAGTGATCTAAGTCAAAACATTAAAGCCTATGTGTCATACAATAGATTCTCAGAAATTCTGAGTTGGCTATTCTTCTTAGTTTTAATCAAAGCAAAAAATAGCATTTCCATTTTTGTCATCTTCATATTAAAGTATTTGTCATATTATTTGATTCAGTCACCCTGAGTTACACATCAGTAGAATCTGTCTAACCTTTCTCAAAAAGCTGTCCCTGCCAGAACAGGGGCCCATTTCTATAGTAAGTGGCATACCACCTAAATACATAAACATTAGAATCATGTATTACCAGACTACTTAGAACCAGAAGGCATCATGGCAGGAAAATTTGGGTAATATGGCATTTTTACACAGAGATACTGACTCGGTGCAGCTTCCTGTCTCTCTCCTGATCCTCAGTCCCTTTGATGTGCTGTGGGTTTCCTTATTGCCTCCTTTACCTCTCCCCACATATGCACACATACAATCATCACCAAAACCCTTTGTACCTGCTCTGCCTTATTTTCTGCCTTTGTTCTACTTGCAGGGTATTCTTCCATTTCCTCAATTAGCTTTATTAACCAGGAGACATGGATGAGTAGGGATAGGGAATGCAAGTAACTCTCATGCCCTGTTTGTATGTGTCTATGACATATAACTGCAAAAACCAGCAGACGTTTACATGGCCATTCAGCCATGCTGACCTTCACATTGAGATTGTACTGCTGATCTTTGACCTAAATTATTATGCTCAGCTTGGTGGGCCTCTGAAGTTAGTGGATTGTCCACAGTAAATGTGCAGCATTTGGCAACTAAATATTAGAATTAGAGCAGGAGGGGAGGGAGCTAGAGGTAGAAGAGGACATAGAAGGGATAAACAGTGATAAGGAAAAAAGTTTCTTGCAAAAAAATAATTAAATATAGAGCTAAACAACTTTTCTGTGTGTAGAAATGGTGAGACTTTAGGCTAGTATGTTCACTTATATGATTTCCAAGTATGAAGAAGTTCAGGAAGCCTTTGCAAGTATGTTTTCTTCTAATTACTTAAAAATCAGAAACTCTGAATTAAAAATGGAAGGAGAATGTGCCAAAAAGTATTTGATTTGAAATAAATAAGATCCATATGCTTATAGCACTGCACAGAACAAGATGAAATTTTTATGTTTGCTATAGGTCAGTTATTATTTTACTTTCAGGGATTTTATCCAAATGTTTTTGGTGTTTTGGTGTGTTCCCCCCCCACACACACACACAATTGGCCAGACACAGATCTTGAATCTGTCCTCAGTGCTTTGTTTTTTTCAGCCTTGTCTTTTGGACCAAAATAACAACCACATATTATTTTGCCAGAAACTCAGCATTACCACTAATGTGTTTCTTAACAATTACACAATGTTCTTGGCTGTCGTAAAAACTACTTGGTCTAAAAAATATAAAATTAGTATATAAAAATATGTGTAGACACAGACATATAACATACACACACTACGGTACATATTTATATGTATTCAAGCTAAAAGATGGCTTATGGCAAAATTAGAAGTCTAATTATTTGTATACTTTGAGAAAAAAGATTACATCAAAAACATGTATTTTAATTTGTTAAGATGTGGAGGTTGGGAATATTGTGAGTAATGGATAATTTATGTGGGATTTAGGAGTAATAGCTTACAAATACTGAGTATGCCTTTTTACATATAAATGTAATATATAACACAGTGAATTTGAGAGGAAATGTTTAAAATGTGCTTCAACAGATTATCAATGTACTTTCTTGGACTTGAATTATTAGTTCCATAGAAAAGTACTGTGGGAAGGCATTTTTGTATTTACTTATTTCAGAAAGTATAAAACGTCTATAAATTTTCCTGTTTTTAACCAAGAATGAAGGAGAGCTTCCTGGGTGGCTGAATTCCAGCTGTGCAGACTGGTCATAGCACTTCTGCCAATCAGAACAGGCCCTTCAGGAAGCCCTCAGATGCTGAGTCTTGTTTACACGCCTTGTGACTCTGTTTCTCCCCTCCTCTCGTGTGCTGTACTACTAGGAAGATTTGGAAGGATGGGGGAGTTTGGGATTGCATGCCTGAGTAAACTGTAGGAAACTAGGATCACAGCCACAACAAACGGTATTACGGGCAGACTTTGAGCTCATCGTTTGCCACAGGTAAGAAAAGTTGTTTTGTTATCTGAGGATAGCTGATCTGCACCCAGTTTCTAGCTTTACTTTGAGACATTATATTTTACTTTCGTTAACAAAACTAGCAGGCTAACAGCTGAAGAGGAATGATTGAAAATATGGTTAAAATGTGTGTTGTATTTCTGTGACTAAATTTTTAGGATTTAACAATGAAAAACCCTGGTATTTTTATTTAAGGGCAATGTAAAACCAAGTTAAGTTAAAACAAAAGTTTTAAAAGCGTCAGTGACACTAAGCCACTGTGTAGAGAAATTGGAGCTAGAAGCATATTAACAGTATGTGTTTGGGAGGGCATTATATCTAAACAAAATGTTTTCTTGCGAGGCTTCCTCCTTGTTAGTCTTTCAGACAACAGTGTTTTCCTGTGTACTGACTCATTGGTTTAGAAAACATTTCTTAATTATTATGAACCATTCAGAAAGAATCGATATATACATTTAACTCTATAAATTTGATTCCTTTTCTTCCATAATTCTCTCCAGAAGTTTTACAGTACGTTCTCATCATCCTTATGCTGCTCCATCAGCCATAAAATTAAGGGGAACAAAAGAATTCCTGTCTGCTCTTTGTTTTAGGGTTAAATTTTATTATGATAATAATAACTTAGAAGATACTTTGGAAAACTATATTATGATAACATTGCATCGGATTTTATTGTGGCTTACACTTTACTTTCTACTGTTAGTTTTCCCTTAACACTGATCTGATTTATTTTTGAGCATGTACTGAAAAAAAAAAGTTATTTAGAGTAGAAAAAGACAACCTGTGGGTTTTGTGGTTCTTTCTCTTATATATAATAGTCTTACAGATGATTGATAACATTTTATAGCGTCCCAAAGAGGCACTTTATGAAAACTTTAAGCAGTAAGCTTTTGTCTCTTACCCTCAAGCAGGGTTTCTCAACCTTAGCATAGTTGACATTTTGATGAGATGATTCTTTGTTGTGGGGTGCATTGTAGGAAGTTTAGCAGCATCCCTGGTCTGTACCCGCTAGATGCTAGCTGTGACAAAAAAATAAAAAATGTCTGCCAAATATTCTCTGGGGGATGGGTTGAGAAATAGCCCCTACTGCCCTAAAGCACATTAGACTTAATTATCTTTCAAACATCTGGGTGATAGAGAGTTAAGGATGAGGTTGTACTGGTCTTGGTGTATTTGCAGATGTTGCTGTAGCTGACTGCTGATTTTTTCCCCTCCTCATTCTGTTAGAAGTTTTTGCCAACCATGATTCATGGAATAATTTTTTGGAGCTGAGTAATTTGTGGTTTTTCAATTTCCTTACTTTTTTCCGTAGCAAAATTTGTTTTGGTTTTTAGCAAAGTGTTTAAAACAGCAAAGATCTTTGAAATTAAATAATACATGCAATGATATATTTTCAAAGTAGACAGTTTTAAACAATCATGAAAACTGTATATGCTTGTCTTTCTCTGTGTCCTTTCTACCTCTTCTGTCAGACAAACCTTCTTAACTCTAATAAACAGTTTTTAAAAATATATATTTTATTGATTTTGTACAGAGAGGAAGAGAGATAGAGTTAGAAACATCGATGAGAGAGAGTCATCGATCAGCTGCCTCTTGCACACCCCCTACTGGGGATATGCCCACAACCAAGGTACATGCCCTTGACCAGAATCGAACCCGGGACCTTTCAGTCCCCAAGCTGACGCTCTATCCATTGAGCCAAACCAGTTTCGGCTGATAAACAGTCTTACACATAAGAAGACACAGTAACCCTTGAGCAGTTCTTATGAAATGTAATGGTATGGGAGCTGATATTTAAGAACTTTTCCAGGGTTTCTAAAGAGCATTTTGGCATGTAATCATCTTCTTACTTTACAGATCGCAACGAACGAAATAAACCAGAGCATCGTTCTTCAAGGTATGAACTTAAAATATTTAATAATTCTGCATAAATCTTCACGTTTGAAAAATATTGTTTGGAAACAATGCATATATCCCTTTTAAAGTTACTATATATTTGAATTTTCTATGGCATTAAAGATGCTTTACAGGGAAATTTCTCTAAACAAAATCTATACTAATAAAAGGGTAATGTGCAAATTGGTCAGGATGCCCTCACAGTAATGACCAAACAGCAGGCTGCATGGGGCAACCAGACTGGCGGGAGGGGGCAGAAGATGGGGGTAACCAGACCAGCAGGGGGAGAGAGGGGCAGTTGGGGCCGACCAGGCCAGTGGGGGGTCGGTTGGGGTGACCAGGATGGGGGGGGTGTAGGTGGGGGCAATCAGGCTGGCAGACAGAGGTGGTTAGGGGCAGTCAGGCTGGAAAGGGTGGCAGTTAGAGGCAATCAGACAGGCAGGTGAGCAGTTATGAGCCAGTCCTGAATTGTGAGAGGGATCCTGGATTGGAGGGGGTACAGTCTGGGCTGAGGAGAAGCCCCCCATACATGAATTTTGTGTACCGGGCCTCTAGTCTATAATAATAAAAGTGTAACATGCTAATTAGACTGGATATCCTTCCAGATGAAGCTAAGGTTGTGAGGGAAGCCTGGGTCCCAAGTGCCAGAAGCCAGGGGAAGGAAAGCATACTCTTGCGTGAATTTTGTGCATCAAACCTCTAGTATTTTAATAAAAAAATTTTCTTTATAGATTAAGGTATTACATATGTGTCCTTATCCGCGCCCCCCCCCCCCATTGTTCCCCAATCCCTCTCACTCATGCCTCACCCCCGTGGTGTCTTTGTCCATTGATTATGATTATATGCATGCAAACAAGTCCTTTGGTTATCTCTCCCCCATTCCTCTCCCCTCCCCTGCCTTTCCTCTGAGGTTTCATGGTCTGATCAATGCTTCTCTGTCTCTGGATCTGTTTTTGTTCATCGGTTTATGTTGTTCATTATATTCCACAAATGAGTGAGATCATGGGATATTTATCTTTCTCTGACTGTCTTATTTTGCTTAGCACAGTGGTCGGCAAACTCATTAGTCAACAGAGCCAAATATCAACAGTACAACAATTGAAATTTCTTTTGAGAGCCAAATTTTTTAAACTTAAACTATATAGATAGGTACATTGTTATTAACTTAATTAGGGTACTCCTAAGCTGGCCTTTGCTAAAAACTCAAGGGTCCAAAGAGCCGCATGTGGTTTGTGAGCCACAGTTTGCTGACCACTGGCTTAGCATAATGCTCTCCAGGTCCATCAATGCTGTTGCAAATAGTAGGAGTTCCTTTTTACAGCAGCATAATATTCCATTGTGTAGATGTACCACACTTTTTTAATTCATTTATCTGCTGATGTCTCAGTAACAATGGATTCTAACACACTGGCTTTTTTTTTAAATTCATGTAGAAAAAAATAATAGAATCAGCAAGTTATAATTTTATAATTTGTATTCTAATAGTTGATTCAGACAAGAATCATCAGAGGCTCCTAAAACTTGGGCAAAAAGTTGTTGGAGGAATAGATATTCACACTGTCTTACTATATGTTATTCCATTTTTAATTATTAAAAGAGAAATATACTTTTCCAATAAAAATAATTGGTGATCACATTTTTTATCAAGCGGTCAACTATATATCATCATTAGTATGTGATTCCAGATAATGCATCAGCAGTACATGTAGCTAGTACTTGTATAGCTATAGTCCTAGCAAAAAAGAAAAATAATGTCATGAAATATACAGAAAGGCTGGGAAAATATTCAAGATTAAAAACAGACAGAATTTCTTTTTAATCTGGAATTTTAAAATCCAGATTTAAAAGAAAACACTTTGGGGAATAATTAAGAAAATGTTAATGTGAATTTCATTTTGGATAATGGTTTTGGGGGTTTTTTGAGAGTCCGTTTTAAAGCTGGGACAGTGAAACAAGGAAGGGCTTAGGATATAAAAAGCAACAGAAAAGAGACTAGACAGGGCTGCTTAGGCTTGCTAGAAACGCTATGGGAAAGAAGTGAGCCTTGGCGAGGCTGATGTCAGCTCACTGGAGAATCAGAGAAAAGAGGGCCTTGGAGACAGGTCCAGGGGATTAGTCCAGAGGAGACTCCTCTGTCCATTGCTTCCCTGGTTGTAAGTTTCCTCGGGACCCTTAGAATTTAGGAAATGCATGCTTGTTGGAGAACAGGATGAAGGGAAAGGTGTGGTCATGTGCCTGGGTGGGAGAGCACCCCAATAGTAGTTTATTAATATTACCTTTTTAGATGTATAATAGGGATGCTGTTATGTGGTAGAATGTTCTTATTTTTAGGAAATATATGCTGAAGTGTTAGGTATGATGTAGTCTTATGTTTGCAACATACTCTCAGATGATTCACGACAACAAAAACACAGTAAGAGGTAAAACAGAGCAAATATGGGAAAATATCAATAATTGGTGATTAGATGAAAAGTATATGTGTGTTGATTGTACAGTTTCTTTAACTTTTCTGTAGACTTAAAATTTGCAAAATAAAAAGTAGCAGTGGAAGGAACTGTTCTGTGTGTTCCATGAAGTCCCAGAGGGCAGGATGTGAATCTGTGGGTGGAACGTTGGGGGTGTGGATGGCTTTTGTGACATAGCTGGTCAAAGATGGAATGGACCACATGTGAGGAAACTCTGTCAAGGAAAAGGTAGACTAGAAAAGGCTCACACATGGCTGCAGCCCTGTGTACAATCCATAGCCGAGAAGTATTTGCTGAGAGTCCCGAATCCAGGCTCAGGATACAAGAGAAAACAAGAAAAGTCTCCAACTTCATGAGCATGGAGCACCCATTGTTTTGGACTTACACTCCCAATCTCAGAGCAGGTTTATTCTAAGGTCAATCAAATCTTCATAGTTCTACTTCAACAGTGTTTTGGTACTCTTGAGTGTATTCAGGAAATATTTTATTTGTTAATCTCTGGTTTATACTGTTAGATTTTTAAGGATCATGCTATTAGTCTTAGTAACCCTAGCTTAATTAATAGAGTACCTGGTCTAAATAAGCCCCTGTTAAAATAAATGTTTGTTAAATAAATGCCAAATGTAGTTCCAAGAGAGAAAGGGAAATGCCAATGTTTTCCCCTTGCAAACTGGGGAGAACTTGATCCTCAAAAGCTTGCCCATGACTATTGTTGAATGTCTGTAGCAGTAACATGGCAAGAGAAGAACAGATCACTGCCAATCTCACAGAAAACAATGGCCTTTCTGTCTCAATTGGCTGCCTCCTGCTTACCCCCTACCAGGGATAGAGCCCCAAACCTGGGCATGTATGGACAATGCCCAGTGGCCAGGACCCATTTCTCCTTTAAAAAAAAAAAAATATATATATATACATATATATATATAATTGATTTCAGAGAAGGGAGAAAGACAGAAACATCAATGATGAGAGAAAATCATTGATAAGTTGTCTCCTGCACACCCCCTATTGGGGGTGTGCAGGAGACAACTCAAGAAGTAATGTCCTGCCCAGCTGGTGTGGGTCAGTGATTGAGTGTTGACCTGTGAACCAGAAGGTCACAGTTTGATTCCCGGTCAGGACACATGCCTGAGGTTGCGGGCTTGATACCCAATAGGGAGTGTGCAGGAGACAACTTATCAATGATTCTCTCTCATCATTGATGTTTCTGTCTTTCTCCCTTCTCTGAAATCAATAATATATATATATATATATATATATATATATATATATATATATATATATATATATTTTTTTTTTTTTTTATTTTTTTTTTTTTTTAAGGAGAAATGGGTCCTGGCCACTGGGCATTGTCCATACATGCCCAGGTTTGGGGCTCTATCCCTGGTAGGGGGTAAGCAGGAGGCAGCCAATTGAGACAGAAAGGCCATTGTTTTCTGTGAGATTGGCAGTGATCTGTTCTTCTCTTGCCATCCTCAGCTGAGCAGGGCTACCCTGCCAGGCCAGCAATGCATCAAGCAGATTAATACCTGCTGCATCAACAGAGCAGAAAGAAGATATAAACAAAAAATCATTTAATTTTCATATGTTTGTTGGTTCTCTTCAGGCCACCTGGCAGCAAGAAAAAAATATATATATATACACATATATATATATACATATATATATATAATTGATTTCAGAGAAGGGATAGATTCAGGGCCCAGCAAGGATAAGAGAAATGCATTTCTTTTTTTCTTTTTCTTTTTTTTCATAAAAACAAACACTCCTATAGCTTTGTCAGTGAGAGATCAATAAATCTGGGACATCTGCCTGTTCTCTCATTTTGGTGCTGAAATAAGAAGGAAAGTATAACTATTACCAAGTTAAAGAAAAGTTTTATGAGGTATTGTGCAGTGCAAAGAATCCAAGCTAAAAAAACAATGCTTAGCGTTTTTTATAAGTCTTACAGGGTGCTTTTTCTTCTGATGCTGGCATTTTTAAATTTTGCTTGTTGCTGATTGACCAATGTGCAAATCAGGAATATCTGAATTCTTGTCTTTTTCTTATTTGTTTAAACATAGCATTTCCAAAATTAATGTCCCATGGAACATTTTTCTGTAGGATATTAATATGCAAGAAATAAAAATGCATAAAAATGTTTGTGAAATGGTGAGTTAAAACAAAATTGGAGACATTTCTTTACTCTTATTCCACTAAGAGTCTTTGATATACTAAAGTACATTATAAAACTCCAAATGAGAGATTTACTATACAGAATTTAAACTTTTTTGTTTGAATTTGTTAACTTTCTTTGACAGACACAGCTATTAACAACATCTTGAAAAATTTACTATGGAATGGCAGTTTGGTAAACTAATCCAGAAAGAAGTAAGAGCTAAAGATAATAGAGAAAGTGAGGATTGGTGGCAAAAATAGAAAATTAGGAGCTTTTTTTTTTTTTATCACTTCACTAACTCTGAATAATATTAATAGATCCCAATGACTTATTCAAGCTGCAAAACCAGCTATTTTGCTTAAATGTTTTACCTACTAA